GCATTGTAAACAATCAGATTAAGATCCAAAGTGCAACTGATAAAATTAAATAAGAAAAACAACACATAGCGACAGTGATGGGAGTCATCAATAGTCATTGGTCTATGTCGCCCCCTTGTGCTCAATAACCGCATGACAAGACCGTTTTGAGTTTCTCAAGTTTGTTCGCTCATAATTATCCACAAAAGCAGCCGTTTATCCATTTTATCAAATTAATTAGGTTCGCAATGCATCCATAAATAGTCAAATCCTTTTATTATTTTGGCGTTTTCTAACCTGAAAAGCGTAATCACAGATGAATGATGATGTTCCAGTCAGAAAAAAACACCAAAACAAGGCTGGCTTCCTGGGTACAATGTGGTCTGAAGTATTATGTTACCCCAACTAGGTTGTAGACAATCGGTATATAACATAAATAACTAGTTCTGGAGAAATTTGGAGCCAATTCCACACTCATTTGACTGGTGCCCGCACCGTGTCTCTCTTACTCGTCCTTCCTCTCTATTTCTCCTTTAGTTATCTGTAGTGCTGGATCCTCCATTGGCTGTGCTGGATTTGCCCTTTGTCTTGGACGAGCGGAACGAAAAGCGTTTGATGAGGCGGCGAGAGAAGCTTCCAGACTTTTTACGGCTGGTGGAGGAGCAGGAGGCTGTGGAGGAGTCATTGCCCAGGTTAGAGACGTCCTCGTGGGACTGACTGAAACTGGGGTCTTTCTCTCTGCGTTTCCTGCGGAATAGTAGCTTGGTGCCACTGCGGAGGAATCCCACTAAAACAGAACATTCATGCACATAAATGAAACCATAAAAAGACATTTTATGATGAATACATCAAAAATACATTCCACAGAAGTTCACACCTTTGTGGTCTTTGAGGCTACGCGTCTCCAGTGCTCCGGTCGATCCTGTCTCCGACTCCACGTCATCCACGGATGGTCGCTCTGACACGTCAGATGGCGTAGTCTCGTCTGCTTCCTGATGAGCAGATGCTCCGTGGTGGTTCGGGGCTCCGCTGGGAGAATGCGCCCCCTGTAGGGCTGCATCCATTGCTGCAGCGTAGCCCACTGATAAGGCTGAGTCATCTTCAGTAATGGGGACCTGTGGGAAGGACAGAAAATTAGTTTTTCATGTACATGTCATTCTCCCTGATGAGTGTTACATCAAAATTATGTGACGGAAAGAGAAGACTTAACAAATTACCCTGGGGGAAGGGCTAAAGAGACTGTTCTCGTGATCATTTCCCTAGACGCTTGCCTCATTGTAACCAAGATATTTTTATGACATTGATTAGAAATGTCTGTTTACTTGATATTCAGACTCTGACCTTTGACACCCCAGATATGATGAGAGTGCTGCGTTTAGTAGGTGTCTTCTTAGGTACCTTACTGGCCGACTCGGTTAGCTGCCGAATGGCCGTTTCTGCTACGGGATCCAGCCCATTAGGGAGGGTGCCTTCTGCTTGGAAATAGCACACAGACACAAACACACCAGGATCACAGACTTTCCCGTAATTCATTCAAATTACACTGCAAAAAAGTAATATAACAATAAATAATATTTACAAAATGTATTTTAATATAAACAAAAATCAGTTTATAAATAATATATTTATAGTTAATACATATATAATATTAGTATAAATAAATTATTAAAAGCAACAATATAAATAATTTATTGTAAATGTGTGGTACTAATTTTGTGAACATAACTTTTAATTTAATACACATGTACACATTTCAATTATAAACATGATCATGAAGACGTAAATTACCATTTAAAAGTTTGGAGTCTATTTGTTTGGAGTCTAAAGGCCCGTTCACACCAAGGACGATAACTATAAAGATAACGATAAAGATATAGTTCTAAAAATCATTCTCAATATTAAAGAATAGCAGAGTCCACACCACAACTATAACGATAAAGACAAAGAGAAACGATATCGTTGGAATCACTTTCAAAACGATTTTTCTCCAGTTGATGAACGATAAAAAAATTGACAGCCAATCAGAATCCATCCTGCTGTAACGAGCTCAAGAATTTAAAGCGGCAGACACGCGTGCGCTTAGAATAAACAGCCGATATCGTTCGCTGGTGTGGACGCTAATATCGTTATCTTTATAGTTATCTTTATAGTTATCGTTCTTGGTGTGAACGGGGCTTAAGTCTGGAGATTAGTAATGTTTTTTTTTTAAGACGTCTCTTATGCTTACCAAGACTGCATTTATTTGATCAAAAAATATTTGATCAGTAAAATTGTGAAATAGTATTACAATTTAAAATAACTGTTTTCTAATTTATTATATTTTAAAATGTAATTTATTCCTGTAATGGCAAAGCTAAATTTTTAGCAGCCATTACTCCAGTCTTCAGTGTCACATGATCCTTCAGAAATCATTCTAATATGCTGATTTGGTGCTCAAAAAACTTAGCCATGTTGAAAACAGTTGTGCTGCTTAATTAAATGTATTTAATCTTACTTTTAATCAACTAAATGTGTCCTTGATAAATGAAAATATTCTCTTATTCACCAAAAAAAAAATAAAAAATACAAAAACAAATAAATCTTGCTGTCCCCAAACTTTTGGATGGTAGTAGGTATTATCTCAAAATGCTAATGTTAATGTGGAGCTCACTGCTGGGGGTGGGACTGGCACTGGTGCTCTGCAAGCTGTTTGTGAGCACAGTGGGAGTCTTTTCAGTCACCTCCACGTTTGAGGGAGACCTAGACGGAGAGTCTCCTGCAGTTATAGAGGAAGAAATAGGATAGGGTGAAACTGCCAAGTCACTTCTGTGGTACTAGACAATGCAGACAGAAGAGCATGCGTGT